TCAGGCCCCACAACCGGACCCAAAAAAAAAAAAATCTTAACAAAAATAGAATGGGGAAAAAGTAACCATTGATCGTAAATGAATTCTCAGGTTAATATAGACAGCCTAAATCAGTATTCAAATAATGAACAAATTCACCCTAAATAGTCTATAGTATCTAAATTTAGTGCTGTAAGCTGAACGTTGGTAGCTCATACCTATAATTTTAGCTACTCAGGAGGCTGAGATCTTGAGGATTGAGGTTCAAAGCCAGCCTGGGTAAGAAAGTCCATGAGACTCTCCTTTCTTCAGTTAACCACCAGAAAACTGGTAGTGGAGCTCAAAGTGGTAGAGCATTAGCCTTGAGCAGAAGTGCTCAGGGTCACTGCCCAGGCCCTGAGTTCAAGCCCTATGACTACAACAACAACAAAAAATTTAGTGCTCTACATTTTCAAAATTTGTGGACATTGTTGGAGGCTGGGAAGATGGCTCAGTGGTAGAGTGCTTACCTTGCATGCATGAGGCCTTGGGTTCCCTTCCTCAGTACCACATAAACAGAAAAGGCTGGGTATGGCACACTGTCCTTGAACTGAAGAGCTCAGGGACAGCACCCAGGTCCAGAGTTCAAGATTCACAACACTCGCGCGTGCACACACACACACAAGTATTTTAGAGTATGCTAGTGTGCTTAGCAAAGAACAATAAAATTTCCTGTTCCTGCTTTCACTTTGCTATTCTTGCCAGCTCTCTCTCTTTTTTTTTTGTCGGTTGTGGGGCTTGAACTCTGGGCTTGAGTGCTGTCCCTCAGCTCTTCAGCTCAAGGCAAGCACTCTACCACTTGAGCTACTGCACCACTTCCGGTTTTCGAGTGGTTTATAGGAGATAAGAGTCTCACAGGCTTTCTTGCCCCAGCTGGCTTTAAACCGTGATCCTCAGATCTCAGCCTCCTGAGTAGGATTACAGGCGTGAGCCACCAGCGCCCAGCACCCTTTCTTATATATGCCAAACTTACCAGTCATTGATTACTCATTTTATTATACAGACTTGCCATTTAGCAATACTCAAAAGTACCAACTCTGGTTCTTCTGTATATTGATCTTTATTACCCTAACAACTGTCAGTAAACAATAACTTACAACAGTGTCTATTGCCAACATACCCTTTTGCTTACCATTTATTTTGCTGGGGCCTGCATTGTCAGTAATTTAGACGGCAGATTCAAGACTAATTTGACATGTCAGTTTAAAAGTGCAACTATGGGCTGGGAATGTGACTTAGTGGTAGAGTGCTTGCCTAGCATGCATGAAGCCCTGGGTTCAATTCCTCAATATCACATAAGCAAAAAAGGCTGGAAATGGTGCTGTGGCTCAAGTGATAGAGCACTAGCCTTGAGCGAAAGCTCAGGACAATGCCCAGGCCCTGAGTTCAAGCCCCAGGACTGGCAAAATTTAAAAAACAAAAAAAATGTGCAACCAAAAAGATTGCTCTTGTCTCTGTCACACATAAGACATGTCTTTTGGAGATCGAGTACAGAATTTTGCCATTGTATATTAAGCATTACTAGAAATGTTTTTGAAGACCACAAATGAGACACAAAAACTAGGTAGGGAGTTGAATGTATTAGAACACATTAAGAACGCATTAAGCTGAGGTAAGAGGATCAAGTTTTGGGGTTTTGTTTTTTGTTTTTGTTTTTTTGGGGGTCCAGTCATAGGGCCTGAACTCTGGGCCTGGGTACTGTCCCTCAGCTCTTCAGCTCAAGGCTAATGCTCTACCACTTGAGCCACAGCACCACTTCCGGCTTTTTTTCTTTTTGCTTATGTGATGTTGGGGAATCGAACCCATTGCCTCATACATGCAAGGCAAGCACTCTACCACTGAGCCACCTTCCCAGCCCCAGATGACCAAGTTTGAGGCTAACATAGATACATAGAGATACACTGTTGCAAAACCAAGAATACACATAACTATGTATGTAGGTATAAATGACTTCCTAGAACAAAATTGAAATTTAGATTGTTGTAAGAGAAATATATTGTTGGGTGCTGATGGCTCACGCCTGTAATCCTAGCTACTCAAGAGGCTGAGATCTGAGGAGCAGGGTAGTTTCCTGGGAAGGAAACTACAGAAAACTCTTATCTCCAATTAACCCCTGAAAACCAGAAGTGGCACTGTGGCTCAAGTGGTAGAATGCTAGCCTTGAGCTAAAAAGCTCAGGGACAGTGCTAAGTTCAAACCCCAGGACCAGCACAAAAAAAAGAGAAATGTATTACTGACAGTATTCAAGTTTGGGGCACTCAGTCTAGTCTATAATTAAACCACAATAAGGTATCTAAGCTATTTTGGGGGGAGAAATGGGGGGTCAGTCATGGGGCTTGAACTCTGGGCCTCAGCACTGTCCCTGAGCTCTTCAGCTCAAGGCTAGTGCTCTACCAATGGAGCCACAGCATCACTTCTGGTTTTCTGGTGTCTGATTGGAGATAACAGTCTTACAGACTTTCCTGTCTGGGATGGCTTTGAACGGTGATCCTCAGATCTCAGTCTCCTTAGTAGCTAGGATTACAGGCATGAGCCACCAGTGCCCGGCTTGTATCTAAACTTTTATGAGGACTTGAGATTATGTAGAGAGTTGATATTTGCAATTTTTTCCTTAATTCCAACTCCCTTAGCTGAAGGACATCATGACAGTGCTCTGACTCACATGCTGTACACAGCTATTGCCTTCTTAGGTGTGGCAGATCACAAGGTATGTTCGTTTCTTTGTTATGAATAAGATCAAAACATTTCTTTGTTATGAATGTGATCAAAACAAAATTGGAGTTTTAGACTCTAGGCCCAAACTCCCACTCAGTCCTATGCACTGAATATACATGGTAAAGAACAGAGACAGATTATTATGTGGCACATGCATGCCATGGGGAGAGAGCATATCAGTACATTTTTTACCATCTCATTTATGGCTATACACATGATCTGTGGGTTGAACTAGAGAGGGCAAGAGAAGTGCAACAGGGAATGAAAATCCTCTTCCTTTGAAGCAGTTTGCTCCAACATTTGTAAACATGATATCAGCAAGTTTCTATGGGGCTGGGAAGGTGGCTCAATGGTAAAGCACTTGCCTTGCATGCCTGAGGCCCTGGGTTTGATTCCTCAGCACCACATGAGCAAAAAGAAAAAAGCCGGAAGTGGCGCTGTGGCTCAAGTGGTAGAGTGCTAGCCTTGAGCTGAAGAGCTGAGAGACAGCGCCCAGGCCCAGAGTTCAGGCCCCACAACCGGACCAAAAAAAAGAAAAAAAGAAAAACAAACCAATGCAGGGCTGTGTTTCAAGTGGTAGAGTGCTAGCCTTGAGTAAAAGAATTTAGGAACAGTGCCTAGGTCCTAAGTTCAAGCCCAGGAATAGCACCCAGAAAATAAAAATAAACCACAACTGGATAGCTCAAGTAGTAAAGTACCAGCTGTGAGTAAAAAAAAACCTAGTAAGAGGGCTAGGAAGGTGGCTTGTGGTCCCACATTAGCAGAAAAGGCTGGAAGTGGTGCTGTGGCTAACCTTGAGCTAAAGAGCCAAGGGACAGTGCCCAGGCCCCACAATCAACAATGCAAAACCTAGTATAGACCTTGAGGCCTAGCATTCACTATCAGCACACATGCCTACACAGACACACACACACAGGCCAATTTAAGTCTTAGGAGAAAAGACTGAAAAGATACTGAAACTGTAACTAATGGTGTATTTAGTACTCGGACTTAGCTCAAGCAGTAGAGTGCCTGCTTATAAGTTCAAGGCCCTGAGTTTAAACTCTAATAACATACACAAACACGAAAGAACGTTTAAACTAGAAGTCGTGATACATACCTGTAATTCCAGCACTTCTTTGAGGCTACTCTAGGATACATAGTGAGATCCTGTCTCAAAAAATACATGAAGTGCTTATCTAACATGCACAAAGCCCTGGGCTAAATCCTCAGTACTGAAGATTTAGTTTATCAGTAATTTACAATATTGCCTACTATTTGAATAGTAAAGTAATTGAAGATATAGTGGGGAAAACTAGTTTTTTTAATATATATATATATTTTTTATTGTAAAGATACCATACAAAGGGGTAACAGTCACATGAGTAAGGTAATGAGTACATTTCCTATCGAGCACTGTTACCCCTTCGTTTGTTTTTCCCCTACCATCCCTTCCCTCCCAAAACTAGTTTTTTCTTACATAGATGTGTGTGTGTATGTATATATATATATATATATATATATATATATATGGAAATATATATATAGAGAGAGAGAGAGAAAGATAATTGAATAGGGTTTGAATGGATTTCTGATGAGCCTTTTCTGATTTTACTTCTAGGGTGGAGTACTGTTGCTAGTACTGGCTTTATGTTGTAAAGTTGGTTTTCATACAGCTTCTAGAAAACTCTCCATAGATATGGGTGGAGCCAAACGTCTTCAGGCCTTATCCCAGCTTGTTTCTGTGCTTCTCTTGTGCCCGTGGGTCATTGTTCTTTCTGTGACAACTGAGGTAAGAGGAGGAATTTATTGGTAATTAATGTCGCTCAGAAATTTTAGTTCACACCATCGGGAGGACTAAGGAAGAGAGTTAATGAGTGAATTTGGTCAAAGAAGTTGCTTTGCATGTATAGAAAAGGAGAGGGGACAAGAAGAAGGTAGAGAGCCAACGCACCAGTGGCTCATGCCTATAATCCTAACTTCTCAGGAGGCTGAGACCTGAGGGTTGTGGTTCAAAGACAGCCTGGGCAGGAAAGTCTGTGGTACTCTTATCTCCAGTTAGCCCTTAGAAAACAGGAAGCGGCGTTGTGGCTCAAAGTGGTAGAGCATTAGCCTTGAGCTAAAAAGCTCAGAGACAGTACCCAAGCCCTAAGTTCAAGCCCCACGACCATCAACAACAAAGAAAATAGAGGAGGGGCTGGGAATATGGCTTAGTGGTACAATGCTCGCCTAACATTCATGAAGCCCTGGGTTTGATTCCTCAGTACCAGAAAAAAGCTGGAAGTGGAGCTGTGGCTCAAAGTGGTAGAATGCTAGCTTTGAGCAAAGAAGCTCGGGGACAGTGTCCCTGAACAGCCTCAGGACTGGCAAAAAAAAATAGAGGAGGAAGATGATCAGAATACATTATTTACATGTGTGAAAATATCACAGTAAAATCTCACTTGTACAATAAATATACACTGTTAAAAACATACAAAGGGGATTGGGAATGTGGCTTAGTGATAGAGTGCTTTCCTAACACGAATGAAGCCCTGGGTTCAATTCCTCAGTACCACATAAACAGAAAAAGCTGGAAGTGGTGCTATATATAATATAGCTCAAGTAGTAGAGCGCTTGCCTTGAGCACAGAGAGGCTCAGGGACAGTGCCTAGGCCTTGAGTTCAAGCCCCAGGACTAGCCAAAAAAAAAAAAACATGCAAAGGTAAAAAAAGAAAAAAAAGTAGTACATTGTATTTTCTTTTAATTTGAGGCAGAAAGTGGCTAAATTATACTTAATTTTTTCTTTTTTGTTTTTGTTTTTTGTCGGTCATAGTGCTTGAACTCTGGGTCTGAGTGCTGTCCCTCAGCTCTTCAACTCAAGGCTAGCGCTCTACCACTTGAGCTACAGCACCACTTCGGTTTTCTGGTGGTTTATTGGAAATAAGAGTTTCATGGACTTTCCTGCCCAGGCTGGCTTTGAACCGTGATCCTCAGATCTCAGCCTCCTGAGTAGTTAGGGTTACAGGCGTGAGCCATCGGCACCTGGCTTAATTTTTTCTTTGTATAAGATTTTGTTTTGGGGCTGGGAAGGTGGCTCAGTGGTAGAGCGCTTGCCTTGCATGCCTGAGGCCCTAGGTTTGATTCCTCAGCACCACATAAGCAAAAAGAAAAAAGCCGGAAGTGGCGCTGTGGCTCAAGTGGTAGAGCACTAGCCTGGAGCTGAAAAGCTGAGGAACAGCGCCCAGAGTTCAGGCCCCAAGAACGGACCCCCCCAAAAAAATATTTGTTTTGTTTCTCATATTAGTACCCAGGTATAAACTCTGGGATTCATATTCTCACTCAGCTTTTTTTGCTCACCACTGCCACTACTACTTGAATCATACCTCCACTTCAGGCTTTCCTAAGCAGCTAGAATTACAGATGTGAGCCACCAGCGCCCTACTGGTCTGCATTATTTTATCAGTCCCCATAAAATGTAGCAGTCAAGTAAACAAGACATACAGAATAAGAGCCAACTGTACCCAGTCTTTTTTCGAGACTCCATCTCACTCACGGGCTGGTCACTGCAGCTCGAGGAAAGCACAATGGCTAGCTAGACACATGACACACACTTAGATGCCAGCAACAAGGGGAAGAAGTTCAAGTAAGACCTAAAAGGAGAACCTACCTTGAAACTCACCAATGCATGAAGGAGCTGGAGGTGGTGGCTCAAGTGGTATAGTACCTGCCTAGCAATTCAGAGGCCCTACATTTAAGCCCCAGTACTAATTTTTTTTTTTTTTTGCCAGTCCTGGAGCTTGAACTCAGGGCCTCGGCCCTCTCTCTGAACTGCTTTTGCTCAAGGCAAAAGCCTTGAGCCACAGCACCACTTCTGGCTTTTTCTGTATTACGTGTGTGGTACTGAGGACTGGAACCTAGTACTTTGTGTGTGCTAGGCAGGCACTCTACCGCTAGGCCACATTCCCAGCCTGTGAAGCATATTAAAGCGTGAGAATAATTACTTAAATATGAAAGGATTACAAAAATATTTATGAAATACAAACACTATATTCATGTAATATTGACACTTGTCTTTTTTTTCTTTTAATTTCCAGAGTAAAGTTGAGTCTTGGTTTTCTCTCATTATGCCTTTTATAACGGTTATCTTTTTTGTCATGATCCTGGACTTCTATGTGGATTCCATCTGTTTGGTCAAAATAGAAGTTTCCAAATACGCCTGCTATGGATCCTTTCCCATTTTTATTAGTGCTCTCCTTTTTGGGAATTTCTGGACACATCCAATAACAGATCAGCTTCGGGCTATAAACAAACCAGCACACGAGGAGAGCACTGAACACGTTCTGTCTGGAGGAGTGGTTGTGAGTGCTGTGTTCTTCATTTTGTGTAAGTAGTTTCCTCTTGTTTTTATTTTCATCAGTTTATCTTTATGGACTCAGATTTCCAAATTAGTTACTCAATTTTTAAAATTTCTTCAGAGCTTGGATTTCAGTGCTTGTCAGTTACCTTGTTGATTTTTGGAACTTCCACTTTTAAAAATGTGTAATGTTCCTTTTTTCTCTCTTTGTAGCTGCCAACATCTTATCATCTCCCTCTAAGAGAGGACAGAAAGGTACCTTTATTGGATATTCTCCTGAAGGAACACCTCTTTATAACTTCATGGGTGATGCTTTTCAGCATAGCTCTCAGTCCATTCCGAGATTTATTAAGGAATCACTAAAACAAATTCTTGAGGAAAGTGACTCTAGACAGATCTTTTACTTCTTGTGCTTGAATCTGGTAAGATTTTTTTAAATATTAATGGTATATCTTAAAGCTCAATATTTTAGTTTTGACAGAATGGTATATTCCTTTTTTTTTGGTCGGTCATGGGGCTTGAACTCTGGGCCTGGGCACTGTCCCTCAGCTCTTCAGCTCAAAGTGAGCACTCTACCACTTGAGCCACATCGGCACTTCCGATTTTCTAGTAGTTTATCCTGCCCGGGCTGGCTTTGAACCGCAGTCCTCAGATCTCAGCCTCCTGAGTAGCTAGGATTACAGGCATGAGCCATCAACACCCAGCTGGTATATTCTTAATATTCCCCACTTTCTGATAGACATAGGCTATAATTTACATTTTCTTTAAATAGTAGAAAGATAGCAGGATAATAGTCTAAATAATTTTGAGGCATTTGAAGGTTATTAAATTGTGTTGTATCAATTGATAAAATTGTAAGTTTATTTTGGCTTGAATCTCTGGGCTGTGGCACTGTCCCTAAGCTTTTGTGCTTAAGGCTAGCATTCTACCACTTGAACTACAGCTCTACTTCCAGCTTTTTGTTGTTAATTGGCACTAAGAATCCCATGGACTTTCCTGTCCTGGCTGGCTTCAAACTAAGATCCTCAGGGCTGGGAAGGTGGCTCAGTGGTAGAGTATTTGCTTTGCATGCATGAGGCCCTAGGTTTGATTCCTTAGTACCACATAAGCAGAAAAAGCCAGAAGTGGCACTGTGGCTCTAGTGGTATAGTACTAGCCTTGAGCTGAAACACTGAGGAACAGTGCCCAGGCCCAGAGTTCAGGCCCCACAATGGACAACAACAACAAAAAAAAACTAAGATCCTCAGATCTCAGCCTCTTGATCAGCTAGGATTACAGGCGTGAGACACTAGCAACCAGATAATATAATAATTTTTTTTGTAGCTTTATATGTCTTTTTTTTGGTGTTTTATATTTTTTAATAAAGTTTGTAATCCAATGGACACAGAAAACAAAACTGCGCTGAGGAAAACAGTTTCATAAATTAACCGAACCCAGGGCCTTGCGTGCGCCAGGCGGGCGCCCTTCCGCTGGGCTAAACCCCCAGCCCCAATATAATAATTTTTATGAAGTTTTCTCTCCTTAAAGGATGTAGGTCACCACTAATGTTTTAGAATCTTCATTATCAATTTCCAGACATATAAGTAATATCTTTAGATAATTTATAAAATGTATATATTTGATTTAGTCTTTTACAGTTTATATGAAATCAAGTTTCTGGTATAAGTGTTAATTCACTAAAGAGGCAAAGAAAACTTGAGTAATTAAAAGTTAAACCTCATGATAAAGTTCTGATAAATCTCTGTTGAAACATTTCCCAACATATTCCTTCCATATTTTTTTTTTAACATTTTTAGCTTTTTACCTTTGTGGAATTATTCTATGGCGTGTTGACCAATAGTCTAGGTCTGATCTCAGATGGATTTCACATGCTCTTCGACTGCTCTGCTTTGGTTATGGGACTTTTTGCTGCTTTAATGAGTCGATGGAAAGCAACTCGGATTTTCTCTTATGGGTAGGTATACTATTACAGTAACCATGAAAAAAATCTTGAGTACAGATTCTATATGTTATAATAAAATGCCATTTTTAAGATAATACACCACTTTTGCTAGGCACTAGTGGCTCTTATCTATAATCCTTGCTACTCAGGAGGCTGATGAGGATTTCAGTTTGGTACTAGCCTAAGAAGAAAAATCCATGAGATACCATCTCCAAAATAACCAGCAAAAAACAGGGCTAGAGGTAATAGCTCACGTAGAGAGCACCAGCCGAGCAAACAAGCCAAGCAAATGTGAGGCCCTGCATCAATTCCCAGTATCCCTTACTCCTTAAAAAAAAAAAAAAAGCACACTACTTTTTTTTTTTGGTGCCATTCCTGAGGCTTGAATTTAGGACCAGTGTACTGTCCCTAAGCTTTTGTGATGAATGCTAGCCTAGCACTCTACCACTTGAGCCACATTTCTGGCTTTTTGTAGATTAATTGAGGGTTAAGTTTCACATACTTTTTCCATCCAGTCTGGCTTCAAACCTGATACTCAGATTGCAAGCTCCTGAGTAACTAGGATTAAGGCATAACCTACTTGTGCCTTACTAATTTAGACCTATTCTAAATAAGCAAATTCAATTCATTCCAAACTATTATATTTTGAAAGATACATGAATGAAATATAGAAATAATTGTGGTAAAAAGCAAAACCTATCCCAACAAAGATAACAGAGTATTGATAACAATGTTTTAAGGGACAAATAACTTTTTGCTAAAAATTAAGAAAGGTTTTTTCATAAGACTGACACTAAGGAAGGTCTTTGGGATATATAAGCATATAAAAAATTTCAACAAATACATGTATTTGTTACCCAGCATTCGCATAATATTTCCCAGCATTCATATAATATTTTAAATCTTGGGAATTTTCCGTTATTTTGTACTTCAGAAATCTAGACTTGTTTCATCACTTATAAATTGTTTTTATGTTTTTAGGTATGGTCGAATAGAAATTCTCTCTGGATTTATTAATGGACTTTTTCTAATAGTAATAGCTTTTTTTGTCTTTATGGAATCAGTGGCTAGATTAATTGATCCTCCGGAATTAGACACAAACATGTTAACAGTAAGTCATTTTCTATTCCTATTTGAATTTTTACTCAGATTTTCAATGCTGGGGTTGTTTATGGTTTACTGATCTAGGAAGTTTTCTTTTTTTCCCTGTACCATTTTGAAGTCTAGGTCTGGACACTGTCCCTGAACTTTTTTGATCAAGGCTAGCACTCTACCAAAAGCCACAGCTACACTTCTGGTTTAGGGCGGGGGAGGGGGGGGCACGGTTAGTTGGAGATAAGAGTTTCATGCAATGGGGCTGGTGGCTCAGTGGTAGAGCGCTTGCCTTGCATGCCTGAGGCCCTGGGTTCGATTCCTCAGCACCACATAAGCAAAAAGAAAAAAGCCAGAAGTGGCGCTGTGGCTCAAGTGGTAGAGCACTAGCCTTGAGCTGAAGAGCTGAGGGACAGCGCTCAGGCCCAGAGTTCAGGCCCCATGACTGGACCCAAAAAAAAAAAGAAAAGAAAAAGAAAAGATTTGAAGTCATATGCTATTAAAAAATTTGTCAGGAACCAAAAAAAAATTTTTATTTATGTAAGTAAAATGTGACTGGGCACTGGTGGCTCATGCCTATAATCCTAGCTACTCATGAGGCTGAAATCTGAGGATTGCGGTTCACAGCCAGCCGGAGCAGGGAGCAGGGAGATCCATGAGACTTATCTCCAATTAACCATTAGAAAACTGAAATGACATATCAGTCAAAGTAGTAGAGTACTAGCCTTGAGCAAAAAGAGCTTGGGGACATGGCCAGGACCCAAGTTAAAGCCCCATGACTGACCCAAAAAAAAAGAAAGTGAAGAGCCAAAGATGTATCTCAGTGGTATATAGCACTGGCCTAACATGTATAATGACCTGGGTTATTATACCAGCACCACGAAAAATGCAGGACTGGAAATGTGGCTTAGTGGTAGAGTGCCTTCATATATTAAGTCCTGGGTTCTATTCCTCAGTACCACATAAACAGAAAAAGCCAGAAGTGGTGCTGTGGCTCAAGTGGTAGACTGCTAGCCCTGAGCAAAAAGCTCAGGGACAGTGCCCACGCCCTGAGTTTAAGTCCCAGGACTGGCAAAAAGAAAAATGCATTTGTTTATAAATGTCAATTTTAATTATAATTACACCAGAAAATAAAATAACTTGGTTCAGAACATGATGTTTAGGAAGCCTTCCTAAACAGATCACACTGTCCTAAGACTTACTACATTGTGTCTTAGTTGCCCACCTCCTTTAAGAACATTTTTACTGCACTTGAATACACTCCCTAAGAAAACAACCCTGTTTTAGTCATTTTGTAGTACCAGACACTAATTTGGTGTGTGGTGCCTAGAGGGTACCCAGCAATATTGTAAAATAGATTAGAAAATACTAAATTAAATGCATCTTAATTTTTAATGTTCTCATTTTACTTATAGGTGTATTTCTACACGTATTGGCCGACACACTTGGAAGTATTGGTGTGATAGTATCCACAGTTCTGATAGAGCAGTTTGGATGGTTCATTGCTGATCCCCTCTGTTCTCTTTTTATTGCTGTATTAATATTCCTTAGTGTTATCCCACTGATTAAAGATGCCTGCCAAGTTTTACTTCTGAGACTACCACAAGAACATGAAAAAGAACTACATACAGCTTTAGAAAAGGTAATATAAATAATTACTTCACTATTTTTCCCTTTAAAAATAGCATTTAAAATTGAAAAAGTAATTCTAACAAGAAATGTGCAGGCCAGGTTGCTTGCTGGTAGCTCACACCTATAATCTTAGCCACTCCGGAGGCCAAGATCTGAGGATCATAGGTTAAAGCCAGCTGTGGCAGGAAAGTCCATGAGACCCTTACCTCCAAAAGCCAGCAGTGGAGATGTTAGTGGAATGCTAAGGGATAGATAGCCCTGCACCTATGCTCAAGCCCCAATTCAGGCACCACCACCACCCCAAAAATAAAAAAATATGCACAGTAGTAATGAAAAAAATACAGTTTTACTTAAGGAACATAAAAACAGGAACTGAATAAATAAACATTATCTTTTTTTTTCTTTCTCTTTTTTTTTGTGTCC